GGGAGAGCGCTGTGCATTCTGACAGTCTTCATGCTTCCAGTGCCCCCTAGGCCATTGCAGGGGGAGGGAGGGGCCTGTTTGGACCGGAGGAAACGGGCTTGGGGGGAAATGCAGGCGGTGGGGGCAGCATGAAGGAATATCTGCATCTCACTTCGGCAGCCTACGGTGTAAAGCACCAGAGAAAGGTGAGACGTGGAGACAAAATGAGAACAAGACGAGATCTCTGCAAGCACTTCAACCCAACCGGGCTGAGGTTCCCAGAAGAGAGAGAACTCAGTACTTTCGACTCGTTTCCATTTTTGTTCCGTCTCAGGGACCTCTTGAATTCCAGCTGGGCCAGAAAGGTGCATGGCCAAAATACCCAAAGAATGTCCCCTATTATAGAATGTTCAGCGCACGGTGCAGAGCCGGCAGGTTTTGATACTTCTGATAACATGTGGATATAAGACTCAATGTTCGGGGTGGAGGAGCTTGGCTCTAACCAAATTTGGGAATCTTGTTTCAGGAGAATGGACAAGAGAGACTGGGAACTATGAGAAATGGAGGGCTCACACGAAAATGAAAATGGAAGTTTGAACCATTTTCTAGACTCATCCAGCACAAAGAGTGAGGTGTCTCTTCAGTCGCCACAGTGAGCACTTGCCCGCTTCCTCTGACAGGCTGCTCCTCTCGATAGCATCCTCACGCTCCAGTCTTGCGCGCTAACAAGGTCAGGGTTGGGTCTTTTACTTTGGTTTCTTCCGCGGGCTCCAGCCCAGACCTCGGCACAGACCTCCAATAAACACCTGCACTTACCATTCTTCCAGCGTCAGGGAAAGACAGAGAGTGGGACGAGACTGGTTTGTAAAAAGGAAATGGACACACCTGAGGTCATTTCATCACTCCCCAACCTGGTGGAGCATCGTAGCGAACACCAGGTTACCAGGAACAGGGCCACTGAGACAGGGAAAGGGAGCGTCCTGAACTCAAGGTGTGGGCAGTGCCCGGGAAGTCTGTAGGAGGAGAATTCAAGCACTTCATGGTGCGTGCACAGTACCACCAACACAAAGATCTGTCCATCCACAACTCTTTCTGCTTGATTCACAGCGATATTCTGCAGGAATCCAGTTACTTGCAGCTCTTAGACAGGACGGCATATTCCCAAGCTCCCAATGTCACCTTCCACGAGCTCCTTTTAATCCTAGATTTTCCACTATGGGCTGTGTGATCCTGGAGAAAACACTCCACCCCTTAGTTTCTCAGAGGTAGGTAATAATTCTTTCCTTGAAGAATGGCGAGGGGGTTGGCTATGAAGTGTGTATGAGGGCCCAGTACAGTGGCTGGTGGACCTCGACAACCACTGGTTCCCTGCCCCACCCTCCACCCTGTGCTTTGGTACTCACTCTCTGGATAGGGGCCCCTGCATCTACACGGCCTGTTCCTGTAGGGTGTTCATGTATTTGTGCCTGTGCGTGCCTGTCTGTATGTGCGTAAAAGAAACAGAAAGAGAAAGAGAGAGAGGAGGGAGGAGAAGGACGAGTGTATAATTGTGCTGAGGGAAGGTAAGGGGCACACGGTGCGTCTAACACCCCCCAACTCCCTCTCTCAAGCCATCAACCTCTTCACTGGAGGCCCTGACAGGGTGAAAATTAACCAGCAGCCTCCTCTAATCACTGTACAGGGTAATGAAGGCCACGGTTAGACTCCTTCCTCTTCTCTGTTGTCAGAAGGGAGCTATGTTTACACTCCAGGAAGAGCCTTTACTCAGTTATGCAGGTTGCGTGTGTGTGCGCACATGTTGGCTTGTGCATGATGGGGGCGGTGTGTGAATGACTTCTAGGCACTTGCTTTGAGACAGGGAACTGGGGGGACTTTTGTTCTGCAGGCCTCCAGGCCGCCCTGCCCAGCCCTGCGCCCAGACGGCACACACATCCCCTACCCTGACCCTGTATTCTCCAGTGAGTTGATCTCATTATGGCAAATTTAGTTACAGCTGAAGTCTCCTTGTAACAAAGATTATGTCCAAGCCCAGAGTAATGGAACCTAGTCGATTTCATTAAAATAAAATTGGTTACAATGAATAATTCAATAGGATGATTTTGTTTCCTCATCTCCTCTTTGTAGATCGAAGAGCTAGTATTTATAATGATTTTTTTTAATTGGATTTTTGTTTAGGAAGAGATAATCACCCATGATTCCTGACAGCCCCCTCCTTAGGAGACTGGAATAATTGCCCCACAAAGTCTCTTTTCAAATGCTAAGACTGGAAAATTCTTTCTCTCCTTTTCTCACATTAGTAGCAATAAACTTTGGGTGGTTTTTAAGCACAGCTGCTACCTCAACACCTGCTCATGTGAGATTCTGAGTGTGTTAATAATACCCTTGTTTGAATGATGTTTTTTAAACATTTCTAGGAACTGGATGGAGGTGCTGAATTTGGAATTCCTGGCTCTATTGCTGGCCAGCCCTGCTGTTCCTGAAGCAGAACACTGTGTGAGAGAGGTAGCAATGTGCGTGCGTGTGTGTGTGTGTGTGTGTGTGTGCGTGTGTATCTACAGTCAATTAAATACACATCTCCCGAACTCCTAGTCTTATCTAGACCTGTGCTTGAAGATGGGGGAACAAAGTGAAGAAAACCTCAAAACTGTTTTCACAAAACTAGCAGTCTAAAGGGGGAGCTAGACACAGAAACAGGTAATTAGAGTTCAGAGCACGGGTGTAATCAGAGATGGATACGGCAAATACAGAGGTGGCACGGGGCAGGATGAGGCCTACAGAGCACGGGTGTAATCAGAGATGGATACGGCAAATACAGAGGTGGCACGGGGCAGGATGAGGCCTACACAAGCACTCATTTATTCATTCATTCGTTTGTTCGTTCGTTTGTTTGTTCATTCATTCATGCACCCGGCTGGCACTACACATGGGAAACGTCAGGGAATACCACGCTTCCATTTCTTTCCATCCTCCTTGGGGCAGTTGGAAGCAAATGAATGAATAAAGGATCTAATGCATGTAAACACAACCAGATAAATGAAAAAATGATCCAATAAACACTGTAAGTGAGCTTGGACTCCTTTTGTACCTCTTCCGATGATTTTCACTGGGCCCCAGAGGTCACATCTCTCTTTCATCTAGAAACCAGGCCTCCCCCCAACTACCCCGCCGACCCTGAGTCCGGGAAGCAATATTAGAGAGGAATGGCTAGGAGTAATGGCTCATCTGCAAGGCCAGGAGGGAGGTCGGCCTCAGAAACGGCTACAGGGCCAGGCAGTAGGAAGCACTGAGTCGTGTCTCTGGGAAACAGGCATCTCGGAAGAAGGCAGGTGCTTGTTCAGCAGGATAATTGGAAAGGGGGCTCTGGGGACAGTATAGTCATCCCGAGAATCACATCAGCTCTGGTGGCCCCAACACTCTTGCTCCCTCAACTAACCTGACGGTCCCTTGGGGAAGAACCTTGGGACATAACTAGTGCATTCGGGGACTAAGGAACGAGTCACAGCTTTTTAGAGTTGGGAAGGTCCTTGCAGATCATCCAGCTCAACTACTCTCTAACTTAAAGATGGGGAAAATGGGGCTCAGAGAGGTGGGAACACTAGCCCAAAGCCACACAGCAAATTCATGGTAGAGGCACTGTTAATTCACGGGAGAGTGCTCAAGGAGCACACAACTTGACACTCTGCCCCCCTCGAAAGTGAGACTCACCCCAAGAATTTGTTCTTATCCCACTGAATTCCAGTGGTATATCCAAAATGGAGAGCTTTCCCCAAATATAACTTACAATAGGTAGGGACACAGGAGGACCGTCATTACCCCTACTATGCTGGTGTTTCTTGCCCTTAACCCTTCCATGTCCAATCGCTGACAAACAGGTCTCATGAGACCTTGGAATTGCATTTGGCCACTTGCAGCAACATGGATGGACCTAGGGATTATCATACTAAGTGACGTAAGTCAGAAAGAGAAAGACAAATACCACATGATATCACTTCTATGAAACAGAAACAGATTCACAGACATAAAGAGCAGACTTGTGGATACCGAGGGGGAGGAGGGTAGGAAAGGAAAAGACTGGGAGTTTGGGATTAACAGATGCAAACTAGTATATATAGAATAGAGAAACAGCAAGGTCCTACTGTACAGCACAGGGAACTATATTCAATATCCCATGATAAACCATAATGGAAAAATATTATGAAAAAGAATATATATGTGTAGAACTGAGTCACTCTGCTGTACAGCAGAAATTAACACATCATTGGAAATCAACTACATATCAATAATTTTTTTTTTAAAAAATGACTTTACAAAAAATTTTGAAAAAAGCATTATAAGCAAAGTCAAAAGAAAAACTGCAGACTGGGCGAAAGTATTTTCAACGTACATCACAAACAGGAGCTCATCTCGCTGGTAAATAAACCACTTTTAACCATCAGGACGAAAAAGACCAAAGTCCCAATAGAAAAATGGGATAAAGAGACTGCTCATAGAAAAAGAAAGGAACACGACCATGATACACACAAAAAAGAATCTCAATTTCACTGTAGTAAAAGAAATGCAAATTAAAACAACGTGAGATGACATTTTCTTACCTATGGAGACAGTAAAAATCCAAAAGTTGACAATACACTCTGTTGTTAAAATTGGAGAGAAACAAACACTTTCATACATTCCCGATAAGAATATAAAATGGTACAGTCCTATGGAGGAATATTTGATAAAAATATGATAAAGTTATATACGCTTTTTTTTTTTTTTTTTTGGCCACGCTGCGCAGCTTACAGGATCTCAGTTCCCCCACTAGGGATCGAACTCGTACCCTTGGCAGTGAAAGCGCGGAGTCCTAACCGCTGGACTGCTAGAGAATTCCCTATATATGCATTAAAAAAAAATTATATTTGGCTAGAGATATGATCAAGTGGCCATGTCCAATGACACTGTCTTTGTGATGGGCAACCTTGAGGGGCAGAGCAGAGATTCAGAATGTCTGCAGGAAATGTTACGTGTGGCTGGGAGCTTACCTGGGATGCTGCTGGTTGGCCGATGATGACCCAGCCTGGGCACTGCTGGTCTTGATGGGATACGGAAGCGTTGGATGCCCATTGATCCAGGAACCCCTGGGGCGTGTAGACACCACAGTCTTTGATGCTAGTTTTTTGTTCAAACTCCTCACATACCCCATCACCATCATGGAAGTAGCACCGGCTGGGTTCATCTACAGGAGACAGACATAGAAGGGAGAGACCAGATCAGTGTTTGTTCTTTGTCCTCATCTGTCATCAGCAGCTATGGAATCAGATCAGCAGAACCATCAGCATGGTCAAGCCCATCACTGAGAGTCACAGTTGAATATTATTCAGTCTTTAAAAAGAAGGAGATCTTGCCATATGTGACAACATCAATGAACCTGGAGGACATTACATGAAAGACAAACACTGTATGATTCCACTTATATGATGTATGTAAAACAAACTCATAGAAGGAGAGAGTAGAATGGTGGTTGCCAGGGGCTGGCAGGAGGGGGTTGAGATTTCAGAGTTACTGTTCAATGGGTATAAAGTTTTAGTTATGCAAGATGAATAAGTTTTAGAGATCTGCTGTACAACACTGTGATTATAGGTAACAAAACCGTATGTACACTTAAAGATTTGTTAAGAAGGTAAACCTTGTATTATGTGATTTTTACTACACACACACAAACAAAAGTTGACAAACATTTCCACCTTCATTACCCCAAATAAGCCCCACAGCAAGCTTGTGAGAAAGATGTTATTATTTAAATTATTATTTTAGTCTTCCAGATTAGGAAACCGAGATCCCACATATCTTTAATAATTTGCCCAAGGTCATTCAGTGCGTTCATGCCAGACCCTAGTTTCAAACTCAGGCTTTCCACTGTCCAAGTTCTGGGTACGTTATCTGCCACCACAGAACTTCATGGTCTCAAACTGAGGTTTATTTAACTCCAGAGGATTACAGTTTGACATAAAGAGTGCACTGATACATGAGAGACTCTGGCTTCAGTCCCAGGTCTGTAACTAAATTGCTCTGTTCCTTTAGACACATCTCTTTCCCTCTCTGGGCTCAATCATCATTGAAGGGGATGAAACTACTGAGACTCCAGGAGCCCTTCCTGTCTAATGTGCTAGGCTTCTAGGGCCTTGTTGGATATATTAGGTGTTTCAGTTAAAGGCCAAGTGAGTCCTCAAGCTCCCATGTGATTCAAATCCCAGCAAGGAGTTCTGCTTGGGACAATTTAAAGCTGCAGCTGGCTGCAATGATGCTCACTTAGCTGCAAGAACAAAGATCAGAGAAGCACAGAATTAACTGGATGCCTTCTAAGTAAGTAGGACATACACAGTACACGTTTCTTGGTGTTGCAATATAGAACCACACAAGGAGAAATCTGGAGGTAGCCGTCCAAAAGAGATCACTCTGCCCAACTTTTAATAACTTGAATGTCAGGCATTCTGTGATACTTCCCCAACTCTGCTAGGAAAAGCTAAGTGCCCCTTCCTATGTGGGTTCCTATTTTACAAAGATCCCCATCTTTACACTTATCACACTGTGCGGCCGTCATGTTTACATACAGCAGCTCCTTCAAAAGGCAGTGAGCTCCTCAAAATCTAGTCCCTATCCAGTGTTTTGGAGTGACCTTATAATTTATCATCCAAATAATGCACTTTGAGAGTAAGAGAGAAAGCTAGTAAAAACTGTCCAGGCGATAGGCACATATCCTGAGAAAATCTAAATACCGCAGAACATATGGTCACCCTGAGGATACTGCTTGATCTAGGCCATCCTTCCCCTACTTACTACAAAATGATGGCGTGAAGCCCCATTTCTAACCAGGGTTTGGCTTCTGCCCCTTATATTAGCTACGTAACTTTGCACAATTAGCGTCACTGGCTTCCCATCTGTAATACCGAAATCACTGTCCCAGCCAGGACAACCTCTCAAGATAGCCATACAACTTTCATAAGAAATGGACAGGAATGAGCTTTATTCTAAAATAACGGTCAAGGGACTTCCCTGTCGGTCCAGTGGTTAAGACTCTGCCTTCCCATGCAGGGGGTGTGGGTTCGATCCCTGGTCGGGGAGCTAAGATCTCACATGCCTCGCGCCCAAACAACCAAAACTTAAAACAGAAGCAATATTGTAACAAATTCAATAAAGACTTTAAAAATGGTCCACATCAAAAAAAAAAAAAAAAAAAACCCTTAAAAAAATTAAAATAAAATAATGGTCAAGAGAAAAGATACTCTTCTCCTAAGGGTTCAATTTATTCCTAAGTGGCTGAATTGAATCAGCTTATAAAATCAGTACTCACTTGAAACCCTTTCAAGCAGCATTCCCCCAAATAGAAAGAGCCCGGGTCAAGTAGAAATAAGACTTGGATTTCTGTGATGCTGACTATCTGAAAAAAGGAATCATTGAATTCAGGGGCAGCAGAATGTTGAGCCCCTTCCAAGCTCCAAAATCCCTTGTTTATTTCTGCAAACAGTTTACATAGTGAAATACTATCAAAAGAGCCAGAATAAATCAGTCCATTATAATTCAATTATTTAAGGATGAGTCTGAGCCAGCTGAGGACTCCAGTGACCAGTAGCATGCCCGGCAGTTCAAGCATGGAAAGAATACAGGCTCAGCACTTCTCAGTAGCTCCAACCTCTTGGTGAATGGAGCCAACTTACATATAATAAAACTCAGGCCCCATCCAAGAGTGATGAGCCATCAATCCAGACTTCACTCTTTAGAAACTCAATAAAGGGAACTGCATAGGGCATAGGTTTTGGCATCAGACAAAACTAGGTTCAAATCCGAATTCTGCCATATACAAGCAGCACAGGGCTTACATAACCTAACCTCTCTGAACTTCATTTCCCTCATTTAAAAAAAAAATGGAGATAATATTTATCCAGCATTGTTGCAGTGGTTTCATGAGATGATGTGTACAATCCCAGCCCCTTCACCTATTTTATCGAATGGAAAACTAAGAGCCGTAGGAGGTAAGGCATCTGCTTCCAGACAACAGAGAGAGTTGGTGGTAGGGCTAGAAGCAGGATCCTGGACTTTTGATATCTAGCAGAGAGGTCTTCCCCCTGCACACCGTACCTACAGAATAATGAAGGCACACCCTGTTGAGGATAAGGTCACGGGGTTGCCGGACTCCTGGGACCACCTTTCTTTTCCTCGAATATGAAGACAAATAGGGTAAGATTATCCTAAGATCACCCATGATCTGCTCTCTAAGATAAGTTGATTCATGTCCTCACCAAAGAGACCTCAGAGTGGCAGGAACTGGGGCTAGAGTTGAGTTCTTGTGAAGGTTAATTTCTTCCTGATTATGCTGAAGACCTCAAACTATCTGTCTGCTTAGAGCCAGTGGACCCTGGAGGTTCTGGAGGAGAGACAGAGGTAGACATAGGTAGGTAAATATGTACTTAGATAGGCAGTTATATGTAGTATGTAGTTGATATATAGATAGATAGGCAGAGGGAGGGTTAAAAGAGGGATAGGAAATTGGGGGAAATGGGAGAGGGAGGGAGGGAGGAAGAGAGGAAGGGCGAGGGAGGGGGAGATAGAAAACTGTTTTCTCCCCCAAGATTCTGCTGACAAAGCTGCTGTGAGTCCCTTTTTTTGAATAACATCCCTGCACTCTGCTATTCAGTTTCTCTTGCTACTAGAGTCCCAGGGGCCCTTGAGCTGCATCTGCCAGTCTTCATCTGGGGAATTCTCTCTCCCACTCTACTCCCATGCCCCCAGGACTGAAGAAAGGAGGGTGGGGAACGGAATACAAATGTGTGGCCAGGAAAAACAAAGGCAGCAACAACAAAACAATAAAACAAACCCAGCCTTCCTGTTTTCATTACACCATTTTATGTGGTGCTTCTTGAATGCTTTATGCTGGGAGCTGAGCAGGTTTCAGGGAAAAGAACTTGAAGTCAATACCAACGTCCGCTGAGCATCCTGCCCCCTGCCTTCTCAGGTAGTAGCTAGGTGGCGCTGGTAATAATACATCCCACAGGGAGGGGTACTGTGAAAACGAATACTTGTTGAATGAATGAATGAGGAAAATTCAGCACCCTCGATGCACATACTCTCGTCCAAATATAGCTTAGGCTCTGTACCCTTTGAAACGTTTCTTTAGACTGGGTCTCGGGGTGAAGGGAAAGGAACTGGGACACCAGTGGTGACTAGCTTACAGTGGAATTCCACTGGGCAGTCCAATTTCTCCATCTTACCCCACCTTCCCCTGATACGGGGGTACTCCTCATTTCAGATTCGCTCTCTTTCACGTAGCGAGACACTTAGAAATCTGCTCTAACCAGCTAGGAGACTTGATGTTGGTGGGGAGACACTGCCAGGTCTGTCTTCCCTGGTTGAGCTTTCAGTTGCCAGAGATGAGCTCAGCTCCAAGAGCCCAAGGCACATGGACACTCTGTAACCGGACAGACACAGCTGATGGCAATTCTCAATGACTTAATTTTCAATTTCCATCTGTCTGAAGCATCAGGATGAACTGCCAGGCCTCTGCACCCCTGAAGTATGTCTGAAGGACACTATCTGAGATAAGCAGGGATTGTCACCCCTGTTTGAAAGCTTGGAAAGCCAAGTCTCAGGGAGATGAAACAAGTTTACTTTTAAGTATAAGCAAAGGCTGGCATTTGAGCTATTGTTAAGAGTTCTCATCCTTGAAGTTAGAAGCCTTGGATTCAAGCTCCTTATCTGTCCCTGACTACTGGATAAGCATGGGCATGTTATGTCATCTCCCTGTGCCTCAGTTTCCCCATCTGTAAAATGAAAACAAGATTACCTTTTAGACTGCCTCAACAAAGTGCTGGGTGTGTTCAAACAGCATAATAGACTTAGAGATGGAAAGTGACACGAGTCTTAAAGGAACAGGGCTTATTCTTAACCGTGATGATACTGGGGTGAGGTAGGGGGTGGAGGAGAAGTCTTCTTAATTAGAAATGTCTACTTTTGTTTACCCAGCCCTAGATCCTAAGGAATGTTCAAGAATAGAAATGATTGAAGAGAGTGCATGGGCTACTTTCAATATAAACAGCAAGGAACCAAGTAAACCAAAAAAAAAAGGGGGCGGGGGGAGCAACAACCTGAGGAAAAAGAACATAATTAACTTACAGTGGAACTATCTCAACCCAACTGGGAGACGCTGATTACCTTACCTTGATTAGAAACTTTGGTCATTTG